CATACACAGACACACACACACACACTCACACACACAGACACACACACTCACACACACACACTCACACATACACACACACACTGCACACACACACACAGACACACACACACTGCACACACTCACACACACACACACTCACACACACACACACACACACACAACACACACACACACACACACACACACACACTCCCTTTTCTATTCTGGGAACACCAGCTAACAACAGTGCAGATCACAGAGAACCCTCATCCTCATGGCTCCAAGCAGGCAGTCTCCATCCTCTCTTCATTTATTCAAGTGTTGTTGCTGCAACCGCGTGTTCACTAATGCGTTAGTTAAATGCACATCAGTGCAGGTTCAACATGCCGCGGTAGAGAACCGTAGGTGTCAGCAAAGCGTAAGCGCAACACCACCATTCTGAATTCTAGCTGTTGGTTAGACGGCCTGCAGTCACCCAACGGTTACCATTAGGCAGCTATGCCTCTATCTAGATGCAGTGCAGAGCATGTATTTACAATGCTAACCACTGAATTCAAGGACTTGTTCCATGTCATCACTTTGTAAACATTAAGCTAATGTTCTATTTTCCTTTCTACAACTTTTATGCTCCGTGTTTAACTGCTTTCAATGAATTCAAGTGTCCTTATAGTGCTTTTGAAAGGCTAAAGCCGTTTATAACTGAAGAGTGGGTAAGGTTCACGCTCAGTGTTTTCACAGTTCAAGCTATTCTGAGCAAAGCAACAGCTCCAAGCTGTGCATGACAAAGGTAAGTGATTGTTTCTAGAATGTAAAAAGTAAATGCATGCATAAATCATGATTTAAATGGCCCAAAGAATTTAACACTTGCATTACAAATTTTAAACATAGGGTAGACAAGAAAAAAGCTAGCTTTTATACCTAACACAATATATGTATCAAAAAGATACTAACCCTGTCGGCTTAAGCAGCAGCCAACACAAACTCATCAGCTTAGTAAAACATCAGGCCATGATTTTTACATGTTCTGAAGGTGGGGCAACTCTGATGCATGGTTCTAGGGTGTGAACTCTGCAGGTAACAATGTGTGTCACAACATGGGAAAGCTGTACACATGTCTGAATCCAAACCCCCAATTCACCTCCCGTGGTATCATTAGTTTCATTTAGCTACGTAAGAATGTTGGTTGTCTTAAAAGATAACCAAATTCAAGTCAAACGGGCGCTGCCTTGCAGAGTTCACTAAACATACCAGCACAGCCGTCCAGTACAAACTACCCTAGACTACACTCACTCCCCAAGGTGACTACTTGGAAGAAGCCCAGGATCCGTTTAGATAACTAAGTTGTAATGTTTAATTAGTGATGGTTAACGAAAGCTCCAATCTCTAGCAGATTTTTGTGGGGTTTCCATACCTAACATTGTATGAATGCATAAGAGGCAGAAATATTGCCGCCTACTACAGACATAAGCACTGTGGTGTCTTCATTTTAGGATGGGACAAGTGCCTTGCTCAGGTCACACAAAGGAAGAGGAGAATCTGGACCTTAAATTCAGTTGACTCTGGACCCCAAATCTGGTTCTGGGGTCCATTCTATTACTCCGTATGCCTGTGCACTGTGATGAGAAAACACCTTACCCGCTCCTCAAGGGAAACATCCAACGGCTACTGCTAACTCGTCCCCACTAAAGCCCTTCTGGGTCCTTAGCTACAGTTATTATAATTATTGCTAACATCTTTGTATTCTACCCCAAATTTTTAGGAGAGGAAGCAGAAACAAGCCAGTAAGCAGACAGGAATGAAAACCCAGGTTTATGATACGAAATATGAAACCTGTATCAAAGAAAAGACTTTTTCTCAGGCAGGGTAAAGCACACGGCAGTCTCTAAAACAGATTTCTATAGCTTTAAACTTCTTCTGTTGTAATTATCAACACAAAATGTTTTCTAGGGATTAAAATGAAAATAAACAAAGAAAATTCCGTTAACAATTTTTTTACTATTCAAAGAACATTAAGATGTCTGAGATTTTAAACCTTTTTGAGATCTATGAGATTTACAAACAGATTCCAGGCAAAATTTAATTTCCTTCCCAAACACACCTTGAAGCTCTCTGTGTGTCTTCCTAAGTAAGGTATGATTTTTATACCCTTAATCCTAGATTGGATATATCTGAAATTTCACAAAATACTTAAATAAAAAGATTAAACTTTTAATTGTGTGGTCTTAATACAAACAGAAATCGTAAACTGGTAATACATTCAAATTATTTTACTAAATGTATTTACAAGTTCTGTATGTCATGTGTTTATGAATAATAGATGCAGACTATATCCAGTGGTCTAGTCCACAGTCAGGCAGCTTGCTTTTTCTGTTGTCATTGACAATAAAATCTCTCCAATCTCACAGCCACTTTATCTATTAAACAAAGATACATAAAGTAATTCATGGTAACTGAATATTCTTTACGTTAAAATCACCAAGCAGACTCTACGTATCAAATAACTTATTTTAAAAATCAGACAGGGCCCGGAGAGGTGGCTCAGTGAGGAAAGCGCTTGCTTCCAGAGCATGAGGAAGTAAGGACCTGAATTTGAATCCCCAGAGCCCACACAGCCAGACACAGGACTGCACACATCGGCAATCCCCGTGCTGTGGGGAGATGGAAGGGCCACAGGCCAGCTAACCTTACATCCCAGCAGAGATAAACAAGACACCTGTGTCAGGCAAGCAAAGGCGAGGACCACGCACGCACGCACACACACAGGGACGCACTCACACGCATAGAGAGTATAAAACTAAAAACTACCTGCTGCTCCAGACTCCTGGCTGTAGCTAATGGAGGAGGAACGTATCGTTCTCAAGCGTAAACTCTGGGCTCTCTCCTGCCGAGCAGCATCACAGGTCTGGTTTGGATGCCAGATCTGTTTACAGTGGTAGCAAAACTCTGTCCCACAGCCTTCTCGCCCGCAGGTTAACTTCGGACAGCTGGCACAGCCAAATGCTATCACAGCATATCTTGAAGGAACAAGGAAAACAATTTAAAATATGACACAAAACAAGATAAAGTCAGTAAAAACGTAGGAAGCATCCAATTAAATGCTACTCAGAAATACATTAATACAATACAATAAACCCTAACACAATCTCACCAATGTGAAAAAATGAGTTAATAAATACCTTAAAAAATTCCAAATTTAATTCTTTACTTTCAAATTTTAGCCAGTGTGGGTGTGCACGTCTTTAATATCAGCACTCAGAGGCAGAGGCAGGTGGATCCCTGAGTTCAAGGCCAGCCTGGTCTACAGAGTGAATTCCAGGAACAGCCAGAGCTTTGTGGGAAGACCCTGTCTCAAACCAAACAACAACAACAAAAAACAATGTCACATAATAATTTAATAAAAACAGACTTTTATTTGAACTAAAATAGGGTGTTTGGGGCCAATAAAAGACGAGGAGTAAGTTTATGACTAGCCTTAGTGTTGATTCTCTAAGCAAATAATCTTGACACTTGAAACTTTTTAACTTAATTTGTGAACTTGAGATATCTGTCCCAGAGAAAGTGAATTTCTTCACATCAACTTTCACAGCAGATGGAGTCTTAATAGCCCCACCAGGAAAAAGGCCAGCTGTCCATCAACAAGCAAATGCTAACCTGTGGTGCACACACACACAACACAGAACACAACTCAAGAATGGAATGAATGATTGACACAGTAACAAGATGAAAAGGCCAAGTTTAGGAAGTTATAAAATACATGCCTCTGTATATGTAACACCTGAAACTACAAGGTTTGAGAAATGGAAACTACATCAATGACTTGTCAGGGTTCAAGGAAAAATCGGAAGTAAACATTGCTGGAAAATGACATGAGGTATCATTGTCCTTAAAAAAGGTTTTTGTTGTTTTAAATTTGAGACAGTGTCTTGAGAAATTGCTGCCTCTGAATTTGCTATTAGTCAGGCAGACCTTGAACTTGCTATCCTACCTCAGCCTCCTCGGTCAGCTGGTACTGTAAGGCACGCAGAAGTCATACCTGGCAACATGGAAAACTGTGATACCCTTGACTATGCACACAAACCTACACCTGATAAAAATCCTATGTAACTAAATCCACCCCACATGAATTAGCTAGATCCACGTAAAAAGGGAAACCTGAGAAAAATCAGTAGACTGTGTGGTGTCTTCAACGGCACAAGCTCCCCAAACCCCCCAGTCTCCGGGCTTTGAATATTTGGTCCCCGTTAGCTGTACTGTTTGGGTAGGATTAGGATGTGTAGTCCTGCAGGAGGAAGCATGTCACTGGGGGGGGGGGGGGGTTTGCTTTAACGATTCAAAAGTCACGTAAATTCCCATTCTGCTCCTCTGCTTGCTACTTAAAATCCGAGATCCCAGCTCTCAGCTCCATGACGACCTGCTGACTGCTCCCCATTAGGACAGTGATGTCTCATCCCTGGGCATGGTATTTTATTGTAGCAACAGAAAAGTAACTAATACACTGTATGTATGCCAATAGCCTTACACAGCAGAAGTCTCCTACGTCTTTGCAAGACAGTAATAGGAGAGGGGGACAAACTGTGAGCAACACACATGGGCAGCAGCATTCCTATTAAGTGTGCGCGCGCGCGCACACACACACACACACACACACACACAGAATTACACAGATGAAACGTCAACATCTACAGCTTTCTAGCGCTCTTTGAAAGCAGCATCAAATAAGTCTCTATTTACATTTTTGGGATTTTTTTGTTTGTTTGTTTTTAAAATATCAAACATTTCCTGGAAACTTAGGGGAGTTTTTGGTGTTCTTGTTACTAGCAACAAAACCCAAGCAAGCAGCAATCTTAAGACTGCATCAAATTTCAAAACCACTCACATAACTGCAGGGTTTAAGAAGCAGGGCACTCCTCCCTTTCTGGGTTACTCCTCCCTTTCTGGGTTACTCCTCCCTTTCTGGGTTATTCCTCCCTTTCTGGGTTACTCCTTCCTTTCTGGGTTACTCCTCCCTTTCTGGGTTATTCCTCCCTTAAGCATCCTGGTCTTCAAATTCAAACTCTGCACCTTAAATTCCATTTTATTCCTGGAAGAATTTACATTAAAACAGTACAGAACTAATGGCATTTTAAATCAAAACAGTAATTTAGCAGACTTTCACTTCCCTGGTTTTAAGATAACGAAGGAGGGGCTGGAGAGACGGCTCAGCATTTAAGAGCACTGGCTGTCCTTACAGTGGACTGGTTAGACTCAGCACCCACATATGGCAGGTCATAACTGTCTAGCTCCAGGCACAGGCGATTTGCTGCCCTCTTCTGGCCTCCATGGGTACTGCATGCATGGCACTGCACACATGTGGTACACAGACTTGCATGCAGGCAAAACACCCATACCAAAAAAAACAAAACAAAACAAAAAAAACAAAAAAAACTATTTAAAACATCTTTTTTAAGGGATAGCCAATTCACTGTAGTCCCGGGGGCAGGGAAAGAAAGAATCTATATTTTATTGTCAACTTTAAAGTTTCAGATTTAAGGTCAAGTTTTTACATAAAAATGGTAATTTCAGTAAAAAGGAAAAAACCTTTTGTTCTAAACCTCTTTTATATCCTATCTTTTACTAAAGGAATTAAGGGTGTAGAGGAGTGCAGAAGGTGAGAGCAGAGGAAATTCAAAGGCTATGGTCAGCTGGGGGTTTTCTGTCTGTGTTCAAGTCAGCAACCATTGCAGACACAACTCCAGCACTGGCTGCTCTTGCAGAGGGCCCATGTTTCATTTCCAGCACCATCTCCATGATGCTCAAACTCTGCACACAAGTGTCATGTTAGTGGGTAAAGTTTTCTATACAATGCCAGTATAACACCTGCAACATTACCAGCTACATATAAAATACACTCCTAATCTCTAGGGAGCCAGCACAGACAATGATGTAAAAATAAAGAGACACTCGCTTTCTGTCCCTTGTAGTTGGTGCCATCAGCACCAACTTACTGTATAGCCAAACTAATGACGGTAATTCTTTAGAACCACCGTATGCATGTATGTATGTATGTATGTATGTATGTATGTATGTATGTATTTGTTTGTTTCCAAGTCAGGGATTCTCTGTGTAGATCTGAAGCCTGTCCTGGAACTTGCTCTGTAGACCAGGCTGACCTCACAGAGAGATCCTCAGCCCCCCTCTCACCCTGCCCCCAGTGTTGGGATTAAAGGTGTGCATCACGGTGGCCTGACAAATTTGTTTTTCTTATAACAAAATTTGTTGAATTAGGTGTTCCTATTTTGTTTCTTTTGGTGTTAATCTCTCTACTGTAAGGTGTATTCAATTTTAACAATAGATAATGTGGCAAGTGAGTAAATTATCCATGTTTTTTTTTTTTTTTTTCCCTTTTATAACTACCTCTGTGATCTGCTCTGGTTTTGTTTAATGTGTTAGTGTGGTGACATATCAACCAGAAGCTGTGGGCTCCTAGATTTACTGTCTCTGTTGACGCTGGCCCCAGTTTCAGACACCTCCCTAAATAACTCATGTGATCTACACAAAAGAAATCATTCCTCGGGGTTTGACAAGTTCACGAGAGCATTAGATATAACGACTCTTAAAAGGTTAAGGTAATCACAGAAGAGAAACTGGGAAATACATTTGAACGAATAGGCACAGGAGACCACTTCTTAAATAGAACACCAGTAGCACAGACACTGAGAGCAACAATTAATAAACTAAGAAACTGAGAAGCTTCTGTAAAGCAAAGAACATGGTCAACAAGACAAAATGGATCCCTAAAGAATGGGAAAAGGTCTTCACCAACCCCACATCTGACAGTGGGGTGATCTCCAAAATACATAAACTCAAGAAACTAGACATCAAACTACCAAATAATTTAATTAAAAAATGGGGTACAGATCTAAACAGAGAATTCTCAACTGGCAGAAAAATACTTAAGGAAATGCTGAAAATTCTTAGTCATCAGGGAAATGCAAATCAAAACCACTCTGAGATTCCATCTTACACCAATCAGAATGGCCAAAATCAAAAACACCAATGACAGCTTATGCTGGAGAGGATGTGGAGAAAAGGGAACACTCCTCCACTGCTGGTGGGAGTGAAAACTTGTACAGCCGCTGTGGAAATCAGTATGGCGATTTCTCAGAAAATTAGGGATCAGTCGACCTCAAGACCCTGCAATACCACTGTTGGGCACATACCCAAAGGAGACACATTCACACCACAAGGACATTTGCTCAGCTATGGTCATAACAACATTATTCGTAATAGCCAGATCTTGGAAACAACCTAGATGCCCCTCAACTGAAGAATGGATAAAAAAAAATGTGGTATATTTACACAACGGAGTACTACTCAGCAGCGAGAAACAATGACATCCTAAAATTCACAGGCAAGTGGACAGAACTAGAAAAAACCATCCTGAGTGAGGTAACCCAAAACCAGAAAGACAAATATAGTATGTACTCACTCAGAAGTGGATACCAGACATAAAGCAAAAGGCACACAGACTATAATCCACAACCCCAGAGAAGCTAGAGCCCTCTTCCAGAAACAGATGGAAGCAGATGCAGAAATCCACAGCTAACCAATGGGCCAAGCTCCTGGAGCACAGTCAAAATGAGGGAGGAGCAAAAATATGAACAAAGGGGTCAAGATCGTGATGGGGAAACCCACAGAATCAGCTGACCCGAGCTAGTGAGAGGTCACTGACTCGGGTCTGACAAATGGGGAACCTGCATAAGACCAAACCAGACTCCCTTAATATTGGTGACAATGGTGTGACTGGGAAAATAGATGAGGCCTCTGGCAGTGGGTCCAAGATCTGACTCTAATGCACAGATTGACTTAGTGGAGCCCATGCTATATGGAGAGATGCCTTGCCCAGCCTAGACACAGGGGTGTGGGGTGGAGAGGGGCCTTGGTCCTGCCTCAAGGAGATGATGGGACAGACTTAGTAGACTTCCTAGGGGAGGCCTCACCCTCTCCAAGGAGCAGATGGGAGGGGGGTCTGGGATTGGAATGTAAAAATAATAACAACAGTAAGGTAAAATGCTTCTCCCACCTTAAAGTCTAACTTGAGGAGAACTATTTCCACTCCTACAATCACACATCTAAACAGGGGCAGCCTCTAGCCCAACTATCAGAGAGCATCACTCGTCAATCCTGTTTTCTAGGCACAGAGTGTAACTCACCATCAATGCCATTACACCTGAAGCTCAGCTAGCCCTGGCCCAACACACACACACTCACACACACACTCACACACTCACACACTCACACTCACACACTCACACTCACACAC